CATTACATGATGTGGACATGTAATGTTTAACTTCAGACAAGGACCATGCCACTAACAGTGTAAACTCTTCACCAGTCCTCTTCCAACACTTGATATGTCTGATGATTTTACAATAACTGGTGCAAAGGTCTACATCACTATTAGTTTTGCTTGGATTTTTGTGATGATTACAGAATGTGAATATTTTTCTTACATTGTTTACCCACAGGAATATGTTCTTTTATGAAATATCTATATAAGTCACCTGAAAATTTATTGCATTATTTTATTTCTTGTGGTTGAATTCCTGAGATCTTTATGCATTTGACACTGGTTCTGGAGAGGAGTTTAGCTCTCAATTAATTCTTCACAATCTGAAGTTTTCTGTTTACTTTTCAATCACTCCCTTTGTGATGAAGAAGCTGTACAATGTGGTGCAATTTCAGTTCCCTGTTTTCATTCTGATTCAGAGAGAGGAGACCTCTACACAGTGTCTCCAAGTTCTTGTCAGAGACAGAGAAAGAATTCAGAGAGAATACAAAATAAGGAATTGGGGAAATTTTATCAAAGAACAAAGTACACCCTCAAGTGGGAGTGTGTGCTTCTGAAGAGAGATTGCCAACTCACAGGATTTGCTTGGTAAAATTTATATTAATCTGCAAGATGCAATAAAGGGAGAAGATACCCATGTCTCTCTCCTGCCATAGTCAGAGAAGAGGGAAGTCAAATGTTCTGTCCTCTGTCTCCTCAGAATAATGGCACGGGGTTTGAGGTGTTTGCTGTGACTTGTTTCTGTAGAATACAGATGTGAGCAGATGCTTACGCACATGAATGTCTTTACACAGGAAACAAAAGTGCTTCCTCCACTCTCCTTTTTCCATGCTAATCATGAATTCATCTCTCTGTCTATCATAAAGAGGACAGGAAACTCAGAAACATCTGTCCCCTAGACACACAGCCTTCAGGATCATGAAAACAGGGGGTCACAAATCCTATAGTATCTCCTTTCATCCTTTAGGAAGGAATTACATGGGCAAAGGTCCTTGAATAAGCCCACCAAAAGATTACCCTGTGAGCTGTAATGATGGCCACTCAGTTTCACTGTCCACAAACCACCCAGCTGTTTAGATGAATTTGTTTGTAGAGAACTTTGGTCCTAATGAAGCAGGTGACCTCCATTGCAAGCAGACATGGAAGCTTCACCTGTGGTCACCTGTGATACTCATCACAGACCTGCACACTTCCTGAGTTGTGACACCTGAGTTGACCCAAGGGGTCAGGATCCTGGTACAGGGAATGCAAATCTCTCCAGCTCCAGCCACACCTGGATTAAAAAGCCCAGCATAGAGCCACCATGGACCAGCTGTGTTCCAGGCTTGTGCTGCTGACTCTCCCTGACTGTGAGTGCTCTGCAAGTCCCTTGGTAATGAAAGTCATTATCTGAATGGGCTTCACATTCTTCTTGTGTTTTTCCACAAGGACCTGTTCCATGTCACCCTAAAGTAGTCTACCCTGGGCTGGTTCCACCCTTCCAGTCTCTCAGACTGACCTGTTCCTTCTCTGCTTCTCTCAGAAATCTACTGGTTTGTTACCTCAGCCTATCAGCCCCAAGGAAGGCCCAGTAGTGGTGATCCCACTTTGATTGGATGATGATAATTACTCCAGCACAGCCATGAAGACCTCAATTACAATCTCCAAGAACAGTTCCAAAAAAAGGTGTTCCTCACAATGACAAGCATGAAGCCTGCAGACACACCTATTACTGTGCTAAGGCTTTAGGGTGACAGCCCCAGGTGCTTCCTGCAGAAGATCTCAGGAAAGACCTCAACTCTGCTCCTTCCTCTTTGCAACAGCACAGTAAGGAGGATGTTCTCTTTCCTGTCAGCCTCTGGAGTTCCCTCTACACCCGAGGGTCTCATAGCCCTGTCTTCCTTTTTCTTTTCTAACTACATCGTAGGTCCCTTGGGTGTTGTATGAAATGAGATACAGTGTTTTTTTTTTAATTATGGCACAGGATAAAAAGTATCTGGTGCCTTGGCCAGATGGATCAGAGTTATGGTGCAACCCACTGTAAAGGCTCACACCTCTACCATAGGAGAACACAAATTCCTATTAGGTTTGTCTTGATTGAACTTCTGGATGTGGGATAGGACAAACATTAGTGAATCAGAATCCATAAGATTAAGGTTTTCTGAAGTATGGACACCATAATTTTCTTTTAAGAGAGGAATTTCTAAAAATTTTATGAATTGATAATACAAAATTGGTATCTTGCACACATGGAAGATCTGAGAGAAGTGGTATGCAAATGAAAGTGGAGATGCTATGGGATCTGCTCATTGGAAAGCTTATGCCCAGGAGAGAGTTAGAAGTTCATAGAAGTTGGAATCCTGAAACTTGGAAAGTGGCATGTGAGATTCTAATATCAGACAAACATCTCATTAAATAATGATTATTAATTCAATCCTATATAAGGTTTGGTACCTATGATAAGGGGAGGGTAGAGGAGATGGTATAGGAGGGTGAATATGTTGCAAATATTTTATCCACATGTATGACAATAGAAAATGAGACTTGTTGAAACTGTTCCAGGAATGGGGTAACGAGTGTAAGGGAGAATGATGGAGGGGGTAATTTAAATATGATATACTGAGAGAAATTTTGTAAATGTGACCATGTATCCCCAGCCCAACAATATTGAAAATAATAAGAAAAACCTTGGTCACATACTAAGTGAAAAAGGCTAGAAACAGAGGAGCAAGCACTGCACTGCACTGCCTCAATAATAAGTGGAATACAAAAGGTTGAACTCATAAATCAATGGAATGGTGATTACCACAGTTTGGGATGGGGAAATGGAGGTCAAAGTGCACAATGCTTCAGGTTGACAGCATGAATAAATTCTATAGTAATATGGTGCAGCATACTGACTATAGTTAATTTTCTCATCTAAAATAGTGAATATTTGAAGGATGGGAAGGTAAAAGATGTCCTTTTCAGGGGAAGGGATCCACTGGGAAAGGGAGGACCAAAGAAAGACAATATGGTGGATGTATCTCATATACTTGTATGAAATAAAACAATGAAAACTGCTGAACTTGTTTTAAGCAGGGGAAAGTAGTTGAGAGATAATGATGGAGAGGTTGAATCTAGTCAATACTGGGGTTCTTTTCCTGTAACTGTTGTAAGTTGTGAATAGGCAAAGGATAGCTTCCTCAGTTGGTATCCTGATTCCTTGAATGCCAAGGGATTGTGTGGTGGACTGACAACTCATAGGAATTCATACCCGGATCCTGAAAACTAGAGTCTGTGGCTCCAAGTTCTATAAGGCAGAGATCATAGCTCTAGGAGTTTGGGTCAGGGTTTATTGACTTAGGCATTGACTGTCCATGGCCCACACTCAGTGACCAGTGATTCATGGTTTGTGGAAATAAGAACTGGACAAGTTTGTACTTCAGTTTTGTGGGTGTCAGAGGCTTTTCCAGTCAATAGCAACTACTGTGATGGCTCCAGAGTTATATTTGGATTAACACTGTGCTAAGTGAAATTTGTTTTGTGGAATCTGAAGCAGTGGGTCTAACGGAAGTCTCAAGTAGAATGGAGGTTAAAAGTGGGGAAAAGAAGTGAGAAAATATTGTAGAAGGTTTTAAAGTTTCTGTTACAGAAGGACAATAATGAAGCAGATCTTGTGTGGCCTATGGTGATTATAGTAGTAAATACATACTCTATTAATTATAAAGTGCTCAGAGTTTAGACTATAAGATTTCTTACAGAAAAACTGATCATAGATGGATTAGCCAATGCACAATGTATGAAAACAGCAATGAATTTACAGAAGGTTCAAGACCCAAGTTCAGCCTTCCTTCTGCTTTATTATAATGGCATGTAGATATATTTAATGTTTCTCTGAAACTTAGACTCATGTATGTTCTTCATGATAAACTCAACAAAAATTAACCACAAACTAAAAATGAAAAATATTAATATCCAAGGCAGGCACAAGTGAAACACAGCAGCAATGATGCCCAAACATTTAGGATAATGCTACTATCTCTGGATTTCTTGATAAGTAACATCCAGACTCTCTCATTATAGCTAGTATTTTATACAAATGGAACATTATATGATCTAGTAACTACAGAAGACACTGTATGGAAGTATTATAATACACATATCTATACCTGCAATAATTTTGTAAGGTAAGTTGTGGATAGGAACAAGAAAATCAAAACAGGAGGAAATATTTGGCAAAATTGCTTTTCCCTATTGTGTCAATGGTTGTTTTTCTCAATATGTATCGTATTGTACATATTTACAAACGTAAAACTGTGTATCATTCATAGCTCATTAACGCTATTAAAAATAAACAGAAGTACATTTGGGTAGTTAAGGAGTGAGAGAAACTAACATAAGAATTGTGAGGGACTCATGAGCAGATGCATGAAAGATTCTTAATTGCTTGTCAATGTTTATGAAAATGAAGGATGGGTGAAAATCATGCTGTGTTCTCTATGGAGGAAGAGGTATGTACACCTTTGCCTTGGATTCTGTTCATGGTCAGTGAGAACTGTGAGAAGGTCTACAGGTCCAAATAATTGAGATTTTTGTATACAAAAGAGTTCTAAGCATATCACTTAGTCCTTAACTACTTCTCACTCAATTTTTATGCCTTGAAAATATAAGATGCAAATGAAATGTATGACTTATATGTACATGAACATGGAGATAAAATAGTCAGGGTTCAATGATTATCACAATATAAACATATAATAAAAACTACTTACCTAAATGTTATCATGACTTCAAGTTTCTCCTAGAACACCCACATCAGAGTGGGCACCTTATTCTGTTTTATGTCAAACCCAAGAACTTGCTATATAGCAAGAGAACATGCAAATAAGACCTCCTTCTGTCCATAAAATCAAGCTCAGACCTTCCTCTGCAGCTCTTGGAGAGGAGCTCAGTACAGGATTTCTAGTTGATCCCATTCACAGATCAGTACTAAACACAACCCACTCACCATGGAGTTGGGTTTGAGATGGGTTTTTCTTGTTGCTGTTTTAAAAGGTGATTTACAATAACAAGAGACGGAGTGTGTAAATGGACATGCGTGAGAAGAACAATATATATGTGGGAGAGTTTTCTGACAAGGAGTCTCTGTCTTTGCAGGTGTCCAGTGTGAGGTGCAACTGGTGGAGTCTGGGGGAGGCTTAGTACCACCTGGGGGATCCCTGAAACTCTCCTGTGCAGCCTCCAGATTCACCTTTAGTGATTACTACATGGACTGTGTCCCCCAGGCTCCAGGGAAGGGGCTGGAGTGTGTTGGACATATTAGTAAAGATGGTGGTAGTATATACTACCCAGACTCCGTGAAGGGCAGATTCACCAGCTCCAGAGACAATTCCAAGAGCCAGTTGTATCTGCAGATGAACAGCCTGAAAGCCGAGGACACTGCCGTGTATTACTGTGTAAGACACCCAGTTATGGGGCTTCATTGTGATCCCAGACACAAACCTCCCTGCAGGGACACTCATGACCAGAGGGGGCGCACAGCACACATGGAGCTCAGGCTCAGCCTCAGGTAATGTGCAGACAGGAATGAAGGACTGGTCTCCCTTGTATGTTGGATGCCTCTCCATCTAACAGTTTCCCCAGAGAAACAAATTTCTTGCTTGTACTAATAAGTAATGTCTCTGAATATCAAGAGTAAGGTTTTGTTATGCTAATCAAGTGCATAAAATATATTCTCACATATGTAATATTCAGAATGTCACTTATGGGGCTGAAATGACTGTGCTATGGTCATGGTTTAAAGGTAAAAGTGTGTGAGGAAGTGAAATGGCAGCGATGACCCTAGGAAAAACAGCAGAAATAACCCTGGATATAAAGGGAAGGATGGCAAAAGGAACTGTGTTTCAGATAAAGTAGATAGTAAGGCATATTTAAAAGCAAAACATTTGGGGAGACTGAGAAAACAGCTTAGCACACAGGTGCTGAGGCACAGTAGTTTCTCTTCCTAGATAAGGAAAACAAGATAAAATATTCCTAAGAGCAATATAGATCTTCTAATGAGAGTAGCATAGCCAGTTTCCCAAGAAAACAAAAAGGAGTCTCAGCTCAACAATGAGCAGTAGTCATAAAATGTTTTTGAAAATCCTGACAGCATGGACACTCTTGAATGTCAAGTCTGATAAGGATGTGGTTGGGAAAAGTCAATTAGGCTGTCAATTACACCAGTGTAGTCTGTAGAGTGGGGGAAGTGCCTAAAGTCAGACCCTGTAAGGTCTCATACACTTCAGCCATTCTTTGGCTTAGCTCTCTCACTATGTGCCATTCATTAGGGTGCTTTGATATCCTTTCAGTAAACTTTATTCTTGCTTTACTCTTAACTCCTGGTCTGCAGGGTGAAATTATTTAACTCTTAACTGCTTGTGCAGCTCCTCAGTCATCAACTGTGCCAGGACATGAACTTGGGAACCAACAATCCAGTGAAGTATCAATGGCATCAGATCCTGCAGTGGCTCAGGGCTTCGTGGTAAGTCTTTTACCACGAAATCACAGAGACTGTGAGGCATTCACTGATTAGCACAGACATTAGGATTCAGATTGTGATAAAGGGGCTTCCACACAACTGTCAATGATGCATAAAACATTACAGGGCTTTCTTTTCCTCTCCTCTTGTGAGAAACCAGGCACATTGTGCTCAGATCTGACCCATTTATTATTTTTATTATTATTATTACATTAATTTATTAATAGTAAATATTACTATTAATTATTAATTGTGATAACTTAATATTTATTTATTATTATTGTTATTTTGTATTATTTTATTTAATTCATTTTCTTACTCAGTAATAGTCTTGTGTATATTTCCCCTTTGACTTTGTTCAATGAGAAAATACTGTTTCACATCCTGAGATACAAATACCAAGACCTGGCCCACGCACCTGGATCTTAGCTGTGTCTTAGGCTCTGTTTCCTGCAGACCTCTGGGAAAAGCTGGTTGGACCTCTCCATCCTAACAGCCCAGGGCCTCCTGCTGTCCTCTGTGGAAGGATGCTTGTAGTGAATGGACATAGCATTATTAACCTGGGAGTGAGACTGGCAGACAAAATGTAATGTGAACAGATAGCTGGCTTTTCTCTGTTCAGTCTATCATGGAGTCATCTCTAGCCACTGTTTCCTAGGAGAGATCTGCAGATGTGACACCCATTTGTGTTGTGAGTTCTCAGAAATAGTCTAAAGTTCTGTGGGCCCAATCCTTATAGTTCCCCCATGATGAGTGTCAGGTGATCTTCTTAATGTAAAGATGACTTATTCCTGCAGGAGGGTGAAAGTAGCAAGAGTTTGTCACCAGAAGTCCCCAGACCTACATCACACATCACACATGACCTACAATGTGTAATACAGAAGTACACAGTTGGGCACAGTGGGTGAGGGGTGTTGAGACAAGCGTCCACCACATAAACATAGCCAGTCAATGTGCACATTAGATAAACGGAATGGGAACATAGTCACCCTGAGCATCAAAACCCAGGAATGTTACTTGCCTGTCCTAACTGTTGTCCCGGTGCCAGGAGTTATGAACCTTGAAGAGCATCATGTGTACACCTATAAGGAGAAAGACACAGACGCATTCCATCTGACCCGTGGAAGCTGATCCAGGTGAGGGATAGCCAGAGTCTGGTTCAAAACTCAATGACAACACCATGGTGTGTATGCTGCCCTGGGCGTCTGTTTCATTACTGTCAATGGAATATAAGTGTCAGCCATATCTCTTGCTCTGTCCTTACAGTATCAGCACTTGATGCTATCATTATAGCATCATCAGCTTTGGGAGATGAATCCTTTAGTTTTTGAACCCTCATAGTCTCCCAGGAGCTCCTCTAGTGAACAAGGTTGCATCCCTCACCATTTGGACTCCAACTCCACCACTTTCCAGCATTTTCTCTTCCACAGTCTCAGTTTCTCACTCTGTTCACCTTGTCAATTTTTCCATGCTGTTTATAGCTTCTTTCAGACTCTGCCCTGTCTCTCTGGGACTCTTTTCTACCTTCTATTATTATAGCTCAGAGCCTCAGGAATCACAGCCTTCATATCTTGCTAGTCTCAGCAACTCTCAGCTGCCTCTTGGTATTAGAGGGTTAGCTTCAGGGATCAGGTTCTCATCTCCCTCTTTTCACAATGCAGTGATGAGTCTCAAAGGTGTGCAGTTCTTATGATCACTGTGATTGTCCCTGGTGACTCATAGATGACTTGCCTAAGTGACCTTCAATAAGTCTACATATAGAAGTGTCTCACAGTAATCATGATGATTTTTAACTTTCTGTTCAGTTTGATAATTACAAAATCTATATAATTGGCATTGTAATTCTCTGTCCATATGACTTTTACCTTCTTATTCAGGTCATTTGTTATTTTCTAAAATCCATGTATATTTAATAGCACATGATATGTTAGCTTATTATTTTCTTATTTTACTCTAGAGATCATGAAACCATGGAACTACATAGAAATTTGTTATGGATTTTCAGTACAAGAAATCACAATGACATTGGGAGATTTTGTTATCATGAACACTAGAACTAAATTCTCTTCTTCTGAGCACAGCAGAGTTCAGATGTTAGGGAAGTGCTCTGTTTTGGTCCCATACCATAGCTTTCATGATGCTCTGGGCTTTTCAAGAGAGGATTTATGTGACTGTCCCCTCCCTGCTGTACTACAGGCTAAGATTTGATAATTCTTAATATTAAGGAAATTGAAAATGTAGGATGTCTTTTGTGACCTCCTGCCTGAGTGTAGATTCCAGGCAGGTATCATGTTTTTGGTTCATTCTGTAATATTCCATACCTCACTGTCCCTCCTGCAGAAGTGACATGTGGTCCTGTTCTCTTGCTTATTCCCTGGAGAGGGCTTTGATTTGGTTTTTCCCAGTCCTTCTTCATCACAGCTGCAATAGTTCACCACAGTACCCTCAGCTTCCTGGTGTGCTTTCCTGCTTGAAGATGAATCCTGACTCCTTAGGGACACAGGGGAGGTGTTTCTTGACAGTATTCAAGATTTTTCTATGATGCTTCTCCCACACAACTTTTATTAATCAGGCCCAGATGGCTGGCTCAACTTGACAGATTCACTGTGTGTTTCTGAAATGATGAGGAGAAGGTGAGTCTTTCTCAGTACGGTAGAATTTGATCTCCTTCACTTTACTCAGAACCACTGTGGAGAGAACTGTGGTATAGTCACTAACACAGTAGAAAAATTCTTGAAGGCATTGGAACCCAATTGATATGAATTTCCTGAGCATTTATGAATATAATGTAATCAAAACATACAACCATTTATATTCCTTGGTATTTTTCACATGTATGTTTATACTATTTTGTGACATCTGGGTGCCTGTAACTCATGTGAGCTCATCCCCAATTCATGAGTCTTTCTTCAAGCATTGTCTACACCCAGAGTTAGGATAGTTATTTTTCTGTAATGTTCAATATCTGAATGATGAAGCTAATGTACTAGATTTTGTGTTTGATGCTCTGTTTGTTGCTATAAGAAAAAGAGGGGCTGTGTTCTCAGATGCCAACATCTCTAAGTTCAGTTGTATCTTCACATGTCCAGTCAGAATCTGAAAGTAATGTAAATATCAACCAGAAACTCACCAGGTAAACAAATCACATCTAATTAACTCATGGAAATATAAGCCATCATTAATCCAAAGAATGCCTGATGAATGGTAACATTCATGATTAATCAGTGCCAATGACAGGTCAAAGAAAACACATAATGCACTCTGTAACTGCTAGAAACCATATCCTGACCTAGAGTATTATAGAAACCTCAGTATCAGGAGCTACCTGGGGACATGGTGGGGAAGGAGCATGGGAGGACAAAAGGAACATGGGGAAACTTTCAGAGTGGTGGATGTGCTCACTTTGCTCCGTGTGGGAAGGCTGCCCAAGTTTGTATGCTCATCAGTGTTTAACAAATACTGAGACTACTGTGAAGACTATCTCTTCTCAGTCTCATGTCATCCAAGTTAATACTACAGTAACGTACTACAGAATTGGAAATGTGCAGGGAAGTAGTGACTGCGTTTGGTAATGGCAGGAGAAAGTTACAGATTTTCCTGCCCTTCCTAAGGTTCATACTGGAATTAGTATCACCATGTGTTTCTCAATACAGGATGGGGGTTCTTCAGCCTCAGCATGCAGATCCACTCAGTGTTGGAGTGGATTAGTGAGCATTATGTGCAATGGTGAAGAGAACAATCCCAGACAGTGGGGCTAACTCTGAGAGTATACTCTAGAATATGCTGCTCACCGGTGGATTGATTTATTTGTAATTTCAAACATGGAGAATTTTATAATGTATGTGCATGTGCTAAAATGAAACAATGTGAAATTTCCTCAGTGTTTACCACAGCTCCAACACATGATAAAAACCCCACAGATTCCATACATTATCAACACTAAATTCCACAGGACACAGGTCTTCTCTGGTAAGTGTCTTCTCTAAGTGTCCAATGACAGATCTTGTTATAATGTAGGATGACCCATGAAAAAGGACTATTTCTACTGAGGAA